CGATGCAGATATCCATATACATAGAAACTCATGAAGCTGAACACTTAAGATTTGTGCACTTTATTCAATAAAAATTGGACTTCAATCTTTAAAATGTAGATTTTGCAATAACAATTTTTGTTTCAGTATATAATTAGGGGAAGAACTAGAGGAGAAATAAAAACACTAAATCTACATATCTTCACCATACATTAAAAGATAGATCAAGAAACAGCTGTATAAGCAAAAATTTTTGAGAAATCTCATGGTTAGCACTATTGCCTCTGAAAAGATTGAAGGTTGAGAAGAGGGGAACAGAGGGCTGCTATTTTTGTTTCTTTTTTTTTTTTTTTTAATTTTACTTTAAGTTCTGGGATACGGGATACATGTGCAGAATGGGCAGGTTTGTTACATAGGTATACATGTTCCACGGTGGTTTGCTGCACCTATGAACCCATCATCTAGGTTTTAAGCCCCACTTCAAACTATACTACAAGGCTACAGTAACCAAAACAGATATATAGACCAATGGAACAGAACAGAGACCTCAGAAATAATCCACACATCTACAGCCATCTGATCTTCAACAAATCTGACAAAAATAAGCAATGGGGAAAGGTGTCCCTATTTACTAACTGGTCCTGGGAAAACTGGCTAGCCATAAGCAGAAAACAGAGACTGGACCCCTTCCTTACACTTTATACAAAAATTAACTCAAGATGGATCAAAGACTTAAATGTAAAACCTAAAACCATAAAAACCCTAGAAGAAAACCTAGGCAATACCACTCAGGACATAGGCATGGGCAAAGACTCTATGACTAAAATACCAAAAGCAATTGCAACTAAAGCCAAAATTGACAAATGGGATCTAATTAAACTAAAGAGCTTCTGCATAGCAAAAGAAACTATCATCAGAGTGGGAGAAAATTTTTGCTATCTATCCATCTGACAAAGGTCTAATATCCAGAATCTACAAGGAACTTAAACAAATTCACAAGAAAAAACCAACCCCACCAAAAAGTAGGCGAAGGATACACAGTTTTTCATGACAAGTATTTTACTAATATTTTTTAACTGCATGCATAAAAATGTTGAACAAATATTAAATGTGATTATTTATATAAACCTGGGATGGAGAAGGTCTTTTAGGGACGCCTCTGTGAATATCATTTATTTTGCCAGCCCAGCATCCACTCCCCATTCTGTACTCTGAGTTCCCTACCTCCTCCACTAACAGTCTATATCATTCGGGGAATCTTCATCCCTGGCTTTTGCACTGGCTCGTGACTTGGGCCTAATTCAACTAGTCCAACCCATGGTCTTGGCCCTTGCTCTCAGAGATGTTTTTTCTTCCAGACATAGGCACAAGGCCCAGTTTGGGCCATTGAGAGTTATACCAAATAGTTCTGTAAAAATGCTGAAGGAAAGATATAGTCTGCATATACTTTTATATATACATATGTATAAGAATACATATACAGCCTAATATAGATAAGATATTCATATACCTTATGTGAATATATAGCTTTCATTCATTGAAAGCTAATCTAAATTTATATGTACAAGAACCATATATAAATTGTTAGATATTATTATTATTAGCAATTAAATTCCTTTTTTCCTTAAGCCAGTTTGGGTTGAGCTTTCTGATACCTGCAAGTAGCAGGATCCTGACTAATTCAACCACACAAAAGAGAAACGAGACAAAACCAACCAATACATGTAAGTAGATATCCATAAAACACCAACAGAAACATTTTATCAGTAGAAATCACCAAACAATTTAAAAGCAAATAGAAAAGGAAGAAAGCATGGTTGTAACCCTTAGGATTGATAAACTTTTTGCCCTTACTAATAACAATATGGAAATGCTACAGAAAATGGGCAAAAATATAAATGCAGAATTCAAGAATAAAAACAGGAATGCAAAAAAGTTTACTTTTTAAAAATCAAACAAATGAAATTAATCATGAACAAATTTTATCCAATGACATAGCTAAATATTGTTTTAAATCTTATTATCCAGAGTTGGCAAGTGTCTCATGGACTGCTGATGAGAATGTAAATTGGTACACCTTTCTGGAAGGCAATCTGGCTATAATAAAAATAGGCAAACCTTGGACACAATAAGTCTTCTTCTAGGAATTTATCTAAGGAGATAAAGATGTATGCAAACATTCTCCCTACAAATTTACTTATTGACTTGTACTTATTTATAGAAACACTGGAAAATGAATATTCAAAAGATAAGGCATTCATTATAATCCATACATTCCAATAGTGTTCAATAATTTAAAATATTGATGGAAAATATGTACATGTATAGAAGGATGTTCGTAATTATGAAGTGAAATAAACAGGTCGTCAAACATACAGCAATGAGCCTGTTTTGTTTGTATAAATGCATACACATGTGGAAAAAGATCTACTCAGATACACATCAAATGGTAGTAAAATTTCCGAGTAGTAGAATTATGTGTTTCCTAATTTGCTGGAGTTTTTTTCTGTTTATATGTACATTTCAGCCTTCTGGGTTTTTTTCTGCTGACTAACACATTTCAGCCTTTCTCCAGTGAATCTTCACTGACTTTCAGTAAGAAAAAAAAGTATTTAAAATTCATAAAAAGCCATAAGTCACCTCTAAGAGTGATTTCGAACATGCAGTTGGAGCCTAAACGTATGCAAGCTTTTAGGTGAAGCACAGATGATAAGAAAGTCAAGGGAGTGGACTCTCTTTTAAGAAAATTTGGTTGTAAAAACAACAAGTAAAAGGTCTCAAGGATATATATGGTCTATAGTTATTAAGATGAAAGTCTGCTCTGGAGAAGAGGAAGAGGCCAAAGGTGTAGAAAGAGGGAATCACGGGGGGATATGTCTAATGGAGCCTCCCACAGTAACATACTGTGCTTTCCATTCTCAGGCGGCCTCCATTTGGGGGCTGGGCTGCTTCACCTGGATGCCCACATGCCCTTTTCTCTTTGTGCCAAGCATATTCCGATGCTACACAGACTCAGAAATGGGGGCAGAACTCACCCTGGGGCAGAACCTATACTCTCAGCCTCTTAGTGTTTGAACCTCCTATGCTAGGTGCGGCAGGCACTTTTCATCAGCACCTTTCCCCAGGGAAGAAAATAGGACGCTTGAAGCCCCCAAGAGGGACTCTTACCCCCCCTCCCATAGAAGACTGACCACCATCCACAACTGCAGTCATAAATTACGCTTGAGTTTGATCGTGAAAAAGTGAGTTTTGACAATTCATAGGACTTGAAGGCTCTGCAAGAGAGATTAGGTTTTCTTTTCATTTATTGTGAGCGTATTAACAGCTGGTGACCTAGATTAAGAAATAATTCAATATGTGAAAAGGCAGACCATGCCACTGAATTCCTTCACAGATGGAAAGTGAATTCAGTGAAAAGCCTCAGACCGAAGAGTCAAATAATTACTTGGAAGGCAAGAGGAGGAGGACCTACAAGTGGGTAAAATGAAGTGTGGAAAAAGGATGACAAAACCTGGCCCAGATCCCAAGGCCAGCAGATCCCTGGCTACTTTCTGCACAAGTAACCCGGGCCTGGAAAGGAGCAGGCAGCCTTGCTAATTCAGCTGCGGAGGGAGCGGCAGGAGGAGGATCACTTTAGTTCAGGATGAGCTTGGGTAGATATTAAAAGAAATACAATCCTCTTACTGCATGGAGAGTGTGCATGTGTGGAGGGAGGGACTAGAGGCAGCCACCAAGCCTCTGGGCCTGGGGACAAAAGGGATCAGTGGCCCCTCTGCTCAGCAACTCAGGGTCAGCTGAAACTGGGAGGCAGCCTGAGATTGGGTCTGAAGAGGGAAATTCATTGCCATCCTGAGCAACATGGCAAATCCGACTTCCAGTAAAACAGGAAAACGCTAAACATCCCATATCCTGGGGACGGAAAATACTGCCACGTGAAAGAGAACACAGTTCAAGTGATACCAATCATGGGGCTCATTAGCCGGTGTTGATTTTCAAGTACAATGCTCAAGCTACAATATCAATGAAATGTCCCTTGCTCAGGACACAAATGAAGACCTTAGGGCCGTCAGATACAGCAGTCACCAAGGAAGCCAGGCAAGCCTGGTGCCTGGTACAACTCCCCTCCACCTGCTTGGGGCTGTGCTTGCTACGGACTTGGGTTCCATTCATGCACATCTCCGGGGAAAAAAATTACTGTGGGCAATTTACTGACGGACTTGCAAAACAACAGAGAACCCAATCTGTGTAATCTGGATTTTTAAAAATGCAATAAAAGGTCCTTCTTTGTGCAGAAATGTGCAGAAAGGAACTATTAGGTTCAGGTTATATTTATTTTTGACCTTCTAAAGAAGGACACTGGCGTCAAAAGGGACACAAACATACAGACCAAAAATAAAAGTGTGTGTATCTAGCTCTCTGTTTTGAACTCCAGAACTCACTAGACAGCACTCTGTGATCACGATCCTGCCCTATTGGTCCTGAGAGATATTTTGGTGGCTTCTCTGTTAAGTCGTTCTTGTCTACTGCGCTTAAGTAGCTACAAAATCCCCCGCAAGAAGGACTGCTGCCGCAATCTCCCGCCCCAATCTGCGGGCCGCGTCCCCGCGAGCTGCCTGCGGGCGCGCTGGGAGCCGACCCGGGGAGATGCGGGCGCCGGGAGATGCGCTTTGCTCCGGGCGCAGCGAGCGAGCGGCCGCACCTGCTACTTCTGTTGCCCAGCTTGGGGCCAGGAGAGTGGCCACCCCGGGCGGGCTCCGGGGCTGGACATATCCCGCGCCTCCGGGGCCGGGGTCTGCGGGTCCCTGGCGCTCCGTCCTCCCGACCCGCTCCCCGCGGCGCCCGGGTCGCGCCTTGCTGCAGTCACCGAGCGGAGGGCAGGGCGTCCCCGCATCCCTGGCCCCGGCCCCGCTCCGCAGCGCGCCGCACCCCGAGGCTCGGGCCCCGCGCCGCCGCAGCCGGTGCCCTCCAGCCAAGCCCCCGCCTGGCGTCCCCGTCCCCAGCCCCGGCCGCCCACCGCTGACCTTTTCCTGCGCGCGGTTGAGTCGCTTCTGGACGTTCTTGGCGAAGATGCCCGTCTTGATGTCGGCCATGGCTGCGGGTCCGGGGAGCTGCGAAGAGCAGAGCGCGCAGCGGGGCTGGCGGCGGCGCGGAGGAGCGGGAGGAGGAGCGGGAGGAGGAGGAGAGGGCCGAGCAGGGGAGGAGCGGGAGAAGCGGCGGGGAGCCGCGGAGCGCGGAGGGGTGAGGGCGGGGCGCAGCGGCGGGACCAGCTTAAAGCGACAGAGCGGGGGCGGGATGCGTCGGGACTGGCTGTGACACTAGGAGAAGGGGCGGGGGAAGAAAGGGAAAAAGGCCAAGAAAAAGAGAGGGAAAAGCCAGAAGCCAGATTGTGTCCTCAATGATGGAAGAGTGTCGAGAGGAGAAAGGGAAGCAAGCCAAGCAGAAGTCCCTGGGCCCAGAGGCAGCTCGGGGGTTCTTTTAACGCAGTTCGTGTTGGGAGAGAGTGAGGGGACCTGATTCTTTCCAGCAAAAAAAAGGAACAGGGGAGACAAAAAAAGGAAGAACCCTGGGGATGTGGAAGTCAGCTGGATTGGAACTGCTCTCAAGTGGAGATTATGGGGCTGGTCCCTTACTGCTCCTAAAAGTCTCCAGCTAACAGAGCCCCCTCCATCCACCCTGGGTGTTGCAGAAGAAGGTATGGAGGTCGCCCTACTCTCAGGAGGCTCACAGCCCAGTGAGGGGGCGTGGCTGAGAAACTAACCAAGTTAGAGCTGCAGGAGAGAGGCGGGTGGAGAGCAAAGCGGGGAGGGACCATCGCTGACACTTGTTTAAACTTTAAAACAAGAGTTAGCAGGGTGGGGAGACCCGCGTTGAGAAGGGTCAGCTTCGGGAAGACAGGCGATGTGTGTTGGTCATCTCCAAAATTCCTGTGCTGGGCAGAAACTTTAGAATAGACGACACCTCAAGAAATGGTGCGTGGAACAGTCAAGTTCCTTATAGCTTCACATCAACCGTGGAGACCCAGGCCCCCTAACTTGTTGCTTCCTTGGAAACCTTTTAGCAACCTTAACAGGGACTCACCATCCCTATTATTCTTACTAATGCTTGGGAGAAGTACGAATAATAGAGATAAACCTGCCCAACACCCAGAGCTCTTGTTGGCTCTGACCAATGATCAAACTATTCATATTCCATTCTCACTGCGAGTGTGAGGAGAGGAAGTCAGGTGGTGCCCTACAAAGAGGCGTCAGAAGTGGTCACTCGCAGTGAATCCTATGAGTCCAGGTGAGCATCCTACTGCGTCTCTGGAGGAAACTGTTACATTGGTAGACCTTAGCGAGCTGCCACCTGGTATTCACTCTTGTGTCGTCCTGTAGTCCCCTCACCTTGATTCTAGAATGATACTATGGCCAGCTTTAATCAATAAGATGTGGTGAAAGTGACGCCATGGTAATTCCAGTCCCCCCCAACCTAGAAACCAGGCAAGTTTTGCACTCTGGGGATTCCTGAGACACCATATAGGAAATTCAACTAATTCAGCTACCCTGCTGCAAAAATAAAATAAAATAACAAGGAGAGGCCATGCAGAAAGGGAGAGTCCTGAGATTACGCAGAGAGAGAGAGAGAGAGAGAAGCCAAAATGTCCCAGCTGAGCCCATTCTCCAATCACTTCACTGGCTGGATGCAGCCACACAAGCAACCATCAACAAGACCAGCGGAAGAACCACTCAGCTAATCCCAGCCAGAGTGCAGAATGTGAGCAAACAGAACAGTTTTTATGAGTTGATCACTTTTGTAATGCTTTATTATAAAACAGTAAGTACCTGGAACACCTGGTCTATGTGCTTGGCTCTTATTTCCCTAGGATAAATATCTGCCCAGTTTGCTTAGGAATTAAGGAATTTCCAGGACACAGGACTCTTAGTGCTAACACTGGGAAAGTTCTGAGCAAATTTGGATGAGTCCTACTTATAAAACTCCAAGTAAACAGAGGTTTATTTCAGAGAGATTAAAAAAAAAATCCACCCCTTGGTCAACATTCAATGGAAAAGGCTATGCTCAGAAACCAGGAATTTGAGTCACCTCCCTCAAACAGGGGCCTTTGGAGCTGAAATTGTTATACTGAGTGTCAACTCGATTAAATTGAAGGATACAAAGTATTGATCCTGGGTGTGTCTATGAGGGTGTTGCCGAAGGAGATTAACATTTGAGTCAGTGGGCTCAGAAAGGCAGACCCACCCTTAATCTGGGTGGGCACAATCTAATCAGCTGCCAGCTTGGCTAGAATAGAAGCGAGAAGAAAAATGTGAAAAGAGAGACTGGCCAGATCTCCCAGCCTACATCTTTCTCCCATGCTGGATGCTTCCTGCCCTCGAACATCAGACTCCAAGTTCTTGAGTTTTGGAACTCAGACTGGCTCTCCTTGCTTCTCAACCTGCAGACAGCCTATTGTGGGACCTTGTAATCGTGTGAGTTAATACTTTAAAACTCATATATATATATACACACACACACACATTTATATATCTCCTACATACATATATCTATACATACACACACATATATACACACATTATATATATACACACACATAATATATATACACACATTTTTTATATATATATATATATATTTTTTTTTTTTTCGTCAGTTCTGTCCTTCTAGAGAACACTGACTAATACAGGGTTCAGAATCTTAGCTCTACCTCGGGATCTTGACTATGAGGATATAAGTCTCAGAATGCTGGAATACACCAGAAGTGTTCTAGACAATATCAGTCCATTGCCACTCTTGCACTGTGAGCCCCAGAGCCATCTACACTGGTTTTAGATACAGCTGCCTCTGCAGACATCAGTGCCCTCTCTCTGTCAGGCAAGGGACGGGAGTTCCGAGTACCAGAATTACTTTTTCTCTGCTTTCTTAGAGCTCAAGCCCTCAGCCTCCAAAGTACCAGCTTTTGTCTGTCCTGTAATTATTCCCACCCCACCCACCCACATTTTTGGAACTCAATAAATATATTTTAAAATAAATTTGCAAACGGTTAATTTTCCTTATTATTCAGATGCCCAAATCTAGTTCTGTAATGTGGGTGGAAAAGGGAGGCTTGTCATTTCTTGATAATTCTACTTGGAATACACGCTGAGCATATTAAAACGTTGTTACGTGCAAACTGTCATCAAAACTTTTCACTCCAACAGAAAGGTAAATTGGTGTCCACTTTTAGGTTGCCAGGTGACTCATTCTAGCCATTCTGGAATATTGACTAAGCACTTTAGCTGGTATTTAGTGGCTGTTCTGTAAATATTTGTTGGAAAATGCATGTATGCATGAGACTAGCTCATGAGCATCCATCATGCAAGATATGATGATGTCTGGCATGCTAGAGGGGAGGGGTACCCACTCCTTAAGAACCCTGAGCTAGGATTCATGAATTCTTCCCCAACATCTCTTTAGAAACCTAAACCTGGCATGTTGGATTTACAAAGATGCATACAGCGGATGAACCTACTTTGCCAAATCTGATAATGCCGGTAAAAGAGACCCCTAAAACATGTGCCAATGTGTAGCTTTGTAGATCTTTATTTCCATTCTTCAATAATGTTGCTGAAACAGAGGTTGTGGGGGAGTGAAGGTCCCAACTACAATGACTTGAAATGTTGTTATTCCATACAGCAGAGTCTTTCTTCACATAAAATGTTATGTAAAACCCAAATATATTAATCAGATGGGCCTCTCTGGTTGCAGAAAGCGTTGGGTTCCCAGAACCCCACCCATTAGGCCACTGTTTACTCCCCACACTCTCTAAGGGCCCTCTGCAGAACTGCAGCACTGCCCTGCCAAAGAAGGGGGGTCTACAGGACAAGATGATCTCAGCGGAACCATTCGACTCCAAAGTGATAGGACCATGATTTTATGCATACTTCCTTCATTCTCCAACCATAGGACATGCCCACAATTTCTTGATGGCTTGTACTTCTTCCCAGTATTGGCTATCCATTTTTCTCTCCCTTCAGTCAAGGAAAAATATGATCCGTCCAATCCTTATAGATTTACTGTTAATGAAAAGGAACCACAATTCTTTCTAATTTTGGGGACACACTTAGGCATCAAATTATATTCAATATTTACTTAGGTAGGGTTCACAAAAAGTATCACGACACCAACTCCAGATTTTCATCCATGCAAGGCAGAATTCCTGAGTCAATGTTCACTTCTGATTCACCTTTCTTCCTTCTAACTTGCATTTCAAATTGGCTGATAAATCAAAATGTGCAAAATGTGAATTATGACAGGTACTGATAATGGATGGAATAGGCCCAAAATTACTACTGTATTATCACAGAACTCATTTTCCACATGTTTTAATGGCACAGAAGTTTATCTCTCCTATCTTTATATCTTGGCAGTCCAATTTAGAGCCTTAGGGAATTCTAGGACTTTGCTAACACTCATAAGAATTATAATATAACACCATATATAATGTGATTTATATGCTAAAACATATTCCAATTAGCTACAAGTTTTTTCTAATTATTGGGTTCTTTGTGTCATTGTATAGATAATTGAAGAGATTCCATTTAAACATTCGCAGGAACCTAATTGAAATTGGGGTCTCAAATTATGACTACTTGTTATACTTACCTTTTTGTTCAAAGAATCAAATAACTTTTATTTTCTCTCACAAATGTTACTTGAAAATGGTAGTGTAAGAAGGATGTTTTTCAAAAATATATATTGACTGAGTATCTTCTACATTTCAGGTGAAAACCATCAAATATAGACTCAGTCATGCTTCAAATTAGGCCAAGAATATACATTTTAGCTCCACATATATTTTTACTAAATTGTGCCTGCATGAATACCCTCTTTCTTTCCCAATTTTACCAAATAGCTTTGTTTGTCTAAAACTAACACTTCCTAATACATTAATAATGCATCACTAATGTATCCTGAAATGCTAAATAGGAAACAAGAGCTTTGTTTTAAACAGTCATTGGCCACTGAAGAAAACAATGACACTGTCTTAAATTGCCTAATAACTTTAACATATTTCAATACCATCTTTGATGCTTTTATGCAAAGTAGATGCAAAACAACTCCTATACCTCAAACAAATTGCTTGTGCATCACTTAATAGCTTACAAACCAATTGAGAGGTCAGGGAGCAAAATAAAAGAGAAATTCTAATTAGCCACAACTCTTTCTGAAGAAGGAGACAAGTTCCTGCAAATATTTGATGCTATTTTCCATCCACAAATAAGCTATAAAAATTCCATGTCAAATGCGAGAATCAGCACATTTGT